CTCCCTACAGGGCCTGCTGCCTGCGGACTATTGGTCCTTATTGGCGTAAGCCCGCTCTTACACAAAAACAGGAGGAATGTCCGCCACTATAGGCAAGGGGAGGCTTGGCCCAAAGCTCAGTTCGGAAATGGGCAAAAGCTTCGAGAACATGGAAGACGAAGACCTCTGTCTGAGCGGTCGTCGCGCAATTTCACCGCTCACCTAGTCAACCTTCATCTCTATACCGATCCTCAAATCACTCAAATCACATGTCAAGAGGGGCTGATACATGTTGAAAGCGATTGGTCTATCGGGCTGATTCTCTTCCTACCTCCAGTTCCAATCCACAAATAACAGGTATATCGGTATATCGCCAAGGGGATAGCATCGGCGCACTGCCGGTCGCGCCCGGCTCTTTTGCCGGCCGATCCACATCCTCAGCATGCTGCAGCTTCCCGCCCCAGACACGGTCAGTGTGTGTTTGTTGGTGTGTGCGCGCGGGTGGATATCTACATACACCTACAGAGAGAGAGAGAGAGAGAGAGAGAGAGAGAGAGAGAGTGAGTGGCAGTATGCTTCCCTGTGCAGTATAAGGCAGCTAAGGTTTTGGTTTTGTGGCTTTTGGTAATCAAAACCCTTCACTTAAACGATGTGGCATGATCAAACAAGGCTCGGCGAACATCACGCAACACTCAAGCACCCCGATTACTAGGCTAACAATTACGCCACACTCTCTTTTCGCTTCTGTGACACTGGGCTGTTAAGCTTCCGTGTCGAAGGTCACGGCTTGAAAAGAAAACAGTTCATGTGCGGTACATGAGTGCAGTAGGTTTCATGTCACTTTCCTCACCGTTGGCTGTTCGAAAACCGTGGGAATTGTTGCAGGCACCGAATTGCCCCGAAGCTTCACTCCAGTTCCTGAGACTGCGAAGCCTTAGCGATTCCGATGCTCGACGGCAGTGCTGGACGCCATCCAAAAGGCCTTTTGCACTTATCAGTCCCTGAGCTCGGCGCTCCGGCGGCGACGGGGCCGTCGTGCTCGTCGAAGCGCTGGCGTCGGGAGAGGCGCTCCCGCTCCTCTGCAGCTCAGCGTGCGTTCCTCTTCTTCCAGAAAAGAACAACCTGGGGTCCCCTTTACTTGGGGGCCCTTGGAGCTCCATCCAAAGGACTCTGCCTCGCGCCTTCCTGGCTTCCATGTCCAGCATGATCATGCCCCGGTGGAGGTCCAAGGCCTGCAACGCCGGAGCGTGAGGGGGGACCTTCGGCTTTTCCGACGGCCCCGACATCTGCCGCCATCAAAAACTGACATGTCAAATCTCTCCATAGTGCTTGTATAAAAAAAAAGAAACGCGCGTTTTAAGGTTATAAGGTTATAATGCTTCCCCCCCCAAAATTCCGTTGCAGCTCTTTGCAGCGCCCGCCCTCTTTGCGGCGCGCCTTCAGCGCGGCGGAGATCGCCTCGTCGGCGGTGCGCCGGCCCACGGCTGCGGTGCGGGCCAAACCTCTGCGGCTTTTCTTGCGCACGGACGCAGCTCTCAGAGAGCTACGCGCCGCCCTCCCCCACACAGAGAGCTTGTTTTGTTCCCCCCCAAGTTCCAGTTCTGAGAGCCATCTCAGCGGTTCCGTGAGGCGAGCTACCTCCAAAAGTGGAGCCACCCTTTGGGGGGCCGCGCTCCCACTTTGTCGCAGAGACTCACCGAGCCAGAGCCAGACAGCTTTGGGGCCCTGGCTCTCTGCGAGGAGCCGAGCTCCGAGCCGCAGCAAATTCGTCGCCTCTGCATCCGCTGCTCGGCGGTGCAATCTTAAGAGAAGGGTTTTTAAAAGTTTGCAGTCGGAAGCCCATAGCATCACTGAATCCACACACGCTCCAATGCCGAATCCTAGCCCAGAAGCCGAAAGTACGTCGCCCGAAGAATTCGACCAAGATGCTTGAGTGGATCGTCGCAGTAAGGGGGATTACGAAAGAATAGTGTTGGTAGATGCGAAAGCCTTGACTTGCGTGCACACCCGCGGGGGCCTCTTCGGATCGTCCACGGGCCTCGCGGGGCGGCAGAGTTGCAGTAAGCTTTTTCTTCGTCTCGTCGCCGTGCAGACACTGTAGACACTGGGTCTCAGAAGGGCTGAGCGGAGAGCCTTGAAAAGGCGTTTGGGCTCGGCATGTGCCCGGTATTTAATTCTGAAGGAGACTTCTATTGACATTCGCTTCCAGCGCCTGGCGTGGGGCAAATTTGTGTGCCCCCAGCCTCCTGCGAGGACTCGGGCGAAGCCTTCTCCACCTTCCGCAGCGTCGCCTCCGGCATCTTCCCCGCCCGGCATTGCCGGGGCTTCAAAAGCTCAGAGTTAAAGCTCAAAAAAAAAAGAGCCCCAGAGGCCCTCCCCGCCCTCCCGCAAGTCCAGCAAAGGCCTCCGTGGCATCGCTGATCCTGTTCGAAAGGGGGGCAGTCAAAAGGGCGGAGAGCGGCTGCAGAGCAGCTTATAAGCGGACTTCGCAACCGCGGGGTGGGGCCTTACGACGAGGATGCTTCCCGAGGCGATTCGGGACGGTCAGACGGAACGGAACGCGCTTCCCTAGCTCTTCGAGAAGGACTTTTGGCCTGTCGAGGAGCTCGGCCGATCCTCCGCAGGCGCGCCCTGAGGCAGAGTGATCTCTGGTGACTCTCTCGGAGAAAGGAGCCTCAGACTTCTAGCTCCAGGCTACGTGCCCTGTTCTGTCGATGGATTGCGTCTTGGCTGCTGCCTGCATCCTCGGCCATAGCGCATCGGTCCCGGAGCGCCATCTGGGAAAGGGAGCTTTGAAGAGGGGGACTGCACCCCAATGTGAATGAACGGACTGTGGCGTCACAGGCAAAGGCCTCCCCTGAATTATCTTTGACCCTTCCCGGGCGAGCGGCTGCGGAATTCAAGGTCTCAGCAAGGTCGGCGCAGTCGCTGAGCAATGCCTGCAGGCTCCAGGAACTCGGGGCATGGGCCAACTGGTAAATCGATTTTGGGTTCCGGTCGGGTGGGAAGAGGTGCCTGCTGAATCCGACCCTCCACCGCCACTTAGTAGGCAATCTGGCGCTGCATCGTCACAGAAAGTAGGAATGTCCGGAACCCTCGGCCTCGGCGCACTTCGCCAGTGCCGCCGAGGCGTGTGAGAGAGCCCTGAGCTGGGATGCGGCGCCTCGCGAGGAATTGCGAGGACTTAGGGCCGTGTGCAACCTCGAGCCCTTAAGTGCCTCGGTGCGCTCACTTTGTGGGTTCCGGTTTGCCGGCTCGGGTTCGCTGCTAGCTTGGTAATAGGCTTGTAAGTTCTTGCGGCTGATCAGCGTGGCTCAGAGCGGTCCGACTGGCCCCGTTCCAGAATCCCCGCACCTCGGAGCTCAGACGCGCTTTGGCCTCGAAGGGACACGCGCGCAAAGGCTCTCGCGAGCTTTGTAGATCCACTGTGACAGGGAGGGGAACTTTATTCCCTGATAAGCTTGGGTCTCTTTCCAAACTCGGGAAACAGGGTCATCGGTGGGGCCCTGCATGTGGTCAGAAGAAACCTGTCTCTCCCACAAACAAGCACTTCCTCACTGCGTCCCCCTCGATCCTCCATCCAAAATGGAGAGAGAGAGAGAGAGAGATTCGCCCCAACTAACTTGCCTTCTACTGTTACTGTGTCTTACTCTGACTATGACTGACTTTAGGACACTTAGTTGACTTAGTTGGCCTCTCGAAATCGGAAAATCCCTCAGAAGGAGCCGCGGCCGGGGGGCGCGTGAGGTCACGTAGGCTGCGCAGGACCCTGCGTTTGCCATGGCCCTGGTCGGACCGCTGCGCGTTTTGGGCTTCTTGCTTTTGAGTTGGCTTTGCTTGGAGAACTGTGCAATATAAATAAATCAATCAATAAATAAACAAATATATACACATACATTATATACATACACATGTATGTATATATATATATGTATATGACATACATATGTCGCTGCCGATATATCTGGAGGGCCAGGGGCGATGTTACAACGACAACTTCTCATCTTGGAGTTCTCCTCCTCTCCGCCTTTTTTTCTTCTGCAACCCCGCCATGCCCCCAACAGTTTGGGCTTGCTTTTTTCCTAGAACCTTTGGGAGCAAGGCGTTGATGGAGCTCAGGAGTTCTGGCTCGGGGGTCTCTTGAGGCCGCAGACCCGGAGACGTAGCAGCGCTTCACTGTCAAACCAGGAGCCTTTGGCGACTCTCGAAAGCCAAAATAACCCAGCACGGGCCTCTGCGCCCTCGTCCCAGCTTCGCAAAGCACGGTGGCCGCAACGCGCCACACACTCCGCAGAAGCGCGAGCCTCTGTCGTGCACTGGGGCTTGAAACGCAGGAGGGATCATGGCAAAAGATTTAGGAACCGTGAGAAGAGCAGATCCGTTCTGCGAACCTGGTCTAAGGTACAGTCGCAAGAGTGCCCCTGAAAGAAAGGGGGCTTTGGTCGCTGGGAGACGGGAGAAGAGGAAAGTAAGGTTGAAGCTTGCACGTGCCATCTTTCTCGGGAGCATGAGAGACCAAGGGCGGTGTGCCATGCCGACTTCACATCTTTCAAACTTCTCAGATCTCACGCCAGTCCTATCTCACCTCCCTCTGAGCAACACCCCGGGAGATGCAAGGCTTAGCCTTTCACGCATGAGGCGATGGCTTCACGACTTTACGACTTTGCAGCGGCGATTTCAAGCTACGTACCGAGATGAAGGGTTACTCGAACAGAACTGGGATTTCTCTGTGGCGAGGCCTCCTGCGCATATCTGTAAGACTCGTCGAGAATGGCAGAGGGGCCGAAGACCTGCAGACTCTGGGCACTCGCCGCGCGCCGAGCCCTCACAGCAAACGCCAGACGGAGACGACATCCTACCTGGTCCGACCTTATCACCCGAGTTTACTCGGGTTTTGCAAGGATCTTCTTAGACACGATGCGAGCGGGAAGTCGGCCAACCCCCCGGACCCAAGTTCAGTGCGCCGAAGAGAACGCCCTCAGCCAAAAGCCACAAACCAAAGCACTCGGAAAGTCGCAGGCCTCCTCGGGAGGTGGATTCTCCTCCTTTCAGCAGTCTTTCGATATCTCTGCGCTCATTCTTCCGTCTCTGCAGAATCAAGCTGCCTCTGCCGCGACCGTCGCAGCTCCGCCCAACTGCCTGCAGGCCAGGAGTACAGCTGAGATCGACTCCGAAAGCAAAGGGCGCGTCCTCACATCCCGGAGCTCATTAGCCGAGCTCTGAGAACTAGACAAGATCCAAGGCCCTTCCCAAACGCCCCTCGGTGGCCTCTGTTTGAGGATGGACGAATACGCCTGTTGGATCGCCTGCGGCTGGGCTTCAGGTCTTTTGGCCCTTTGGCACTCCCCTATTCCAGCCTAAACACGGCCAATTTGGGCACAAAAGGCAGGACTCCAGGCGAAAAAATCCGAAACAACATCCGGGAGGATGCCGTGCTTCGCCCGAGACCCTCTCGCCTGAAAGCGTCGCTTGTTGCCGATGCCGGCCTTCCAACAAAAAGGGTGCACGCCAACTCGGCAGAGGCCCAGAAAGCTCATAGAACCTTGGAAGACACCTCAGCCTCAAAGCTCAACGTGGTCTCTCAAAAGCCTGAAGGCCGAAGGTGGCAAACCCCTGAACTAACTCCCTCCGGTCCCGCTTACACCGGACCGAGAGGGGGCGGGGGCGTCTGCTGCGAGAGGAAGCTCAAAAAAACCCAAACTCCCGCACCCGGCAAAGCAGGAACCCGCCCAGATTTTGTGGGCTTTAGGCACTCCACGCTTTTTTTGCCTTGTCCGGGTGCTCCTTGCGCGCCAGGTTCCGATAGGCCTTCTTCACCTGAGACGTGAAGAAGGGGCCTAACTCCAGTGGAGGGCTTCCAGCTCCCAGCGTCGTGAGAAGCCCCCGAAGCCTGGGTCAGAAACCGGTCAAAATGATCCTCGACTCGCCTCGTCTTCGCTGCAAGAGGGGCCATGAAGCCCAAGGATGTGGTAGGAGTCGCGCTCCTCCCAAGTCGGCGAAGCCGAGGCTCCCCAAGGGGGCGCGGAAGGCGGTGCGCGCCCCTTACCCAGAGGCTCCATAGTAGTTCCTTTTTGGGATTCCCTTCTAGGATCCGAAATATAGGCCGCAAAAAAAGGAACTACTACGGAGCCTATATGGGTATAAGGCTCTACAGTAAGGCTCTCAGAGGCCGCGCCTCTGCCATCTTCGTGACCTGCTTCAGCTCGTCGCGCTGCCGCACGAGGCGCATCACATACCTCGGGCCGCTCACTTCTGGCCGGCGTCAGAGGTTTTTCGAAAGAAGAACGAATCAATCAGAGCTCTGATTTCTTCCTTTTGGAAACCCTTTTTGAGCGGGTGTTTTGAGAGCCAGGGCCATGGACTCTCCAGTGGCGCTCGCCGCTCCGGGCTCTCCGGGTTTTCCGCTGGGCCCCCGGGCTCCTCGATGAGCCGATTCTGGGCGCGCAGGGTCTCGAGGGACATCTGCTGCGACTCAGCCTGGCAAAAAAGAGATGTTAAAGGCCCCACCGGTCTAGGCTCGACCCTTTTATCCATTTCCCTGCTTCCGCTCTTTAACCGCTTTGTCGTGCCTCGAGCTCGACTTCCTCTTTTCCAAGCCTTGGCACGACAGGGGTTGCGGCCGAAACTGAGGGGGGGCGCTCAAAGTGGGCTGAAAGGCTGCACAACCGGCGTTCCTGGACAAAGCTGATGTGGACTTTCCGATCACAAAGGATCCGCCGTCTTGGGAGAGACTTCGGTGGGCGGCGTGCCATTTGCTTTGCGGCGGCAGCATCTGTCTTGATTTTAGCTTGGCCCAAACTGGGCCAAAGCTGCTGAACATCAGCAGGAGCGTCATGGCATCCCTAAACTCACGTTGAACTTTGCAGATGCAAAGCTACTTCCCCATTTATCGCCCCGCCTAAGACCGCAACACCAAACTGGCGCTTGACTGAGCTGCAGGCTCTTTGAGAACTCCGCCATCACCGAAAACCTGCCGAAGGTCAGCTGCAGTTGCTGGTCGCATGGGCCAAAAGCTGGAGGATCCCAGGGGATCGGAGGCAGGGATCTCCACAGCTCACTGCTTCAAAGAGGGGGCACTGACAGACCTTCCCTGCACGACAAGCCCTGGGTGAATAGGGAAACATGCAACTCATGGCTCCTGGTTTTCTACCGCCTGGTGCTCTCCTACAGTTCTGCGCCACGGCGAAGGGGCCACCAGGAGAGAGTGCTCGGCCTTCTCGGAGTTCGGACGGGGCGCGGCGGCCGGCCGCTCCTGTTGAGACACGTCGCAAGGAGTCCTTCCAGACTCGCAACCCAGCCCGGCCTTCGACGTTGCCGGTGCTGGGACGGGGCCTCGGCACCAAAAGGCCCTCGACTCGAGCGGCGATTGCTGTCAGAGGCTGTGGGCACGACCCGCGGCTGGCGAGGGCCATCCCTCTACGTGGAGCCGCGCCAGCTCCGTCCAAACCTGCGAAACGGGAGCTAGCGTGGAGGTACTGTGGCCGGTTTGGGGGCGTCGAGGCTCGCAGAGTTTCTCTCGGAATAGGGCGAAGAGCTGAGCAAAGGTCGGGCCGCCTCCCTTTTGCGCCGGACTTTGAAGGCTGCATGCAGAGGTGCACGGCGAACAGGTCCGTTTTGGACACACGCCGCAGCGGTCAGGTACACTCTGCAACAACACATGCCGGCTTTCTCGGCTGAGGACCTTCCGAAGAAGGGTTTAGGGAATCGCTTCTCAGGGCGGCTCGTCGGTCCGCCAGCTCAGGCCACACTTCTCGCACTGCACGACCAGGCGAGCCTGGAGCAGAACCGAGAGCCTCTGAGAGTCCAAAAAACCAGGGACAATCGAGCAATCTTCTTCGTTAGCAGATCACTAGCAGCCGCAGCAGCAGCAGCAACAGCAGCCCTTTCTGTGATTAACAGGTCAGAAACGGCAGGAGACCTAACTTACCTGCACCTGGCTATCGCAGAACCGCAGCCGAGCGACGTAGTCCGTGCCACCCAGCCCGGCAGTCTTGCCCAGCTTGTGGTGTCCGCCGGCCTTTCAGCTTCAAGCGGCTTGGACTTTGGCTTTTCAAGCCTTTCGGGCTCTCATTTAAGGCAGGAGTGCTCTGGGGATTCTGTTTTGGGCAGGGCAGGGTGGGGTGGATGCTACCTTCAGTTGACCCGAGTGGGCTCCTCAAGTGCCAAACCTATCGAAGCGCACGTATTGCCTTGTGGGCATGCACGGAAGCATCGAGAAGTCAGGACTCAGGAATCCGAGTGTCGTGAAGATGCCACCATGAGCTGGGCAGCAAGCATGGGGGATGCGGTCGTAGCGGACGCCCCAGTTGCTGCAGCCCTGGTCGGCTGTGCTGATGATTTTCGGAGGGGTTTTCAGCATCCCCTTGTCTTGTTACAGCTCGAAGTTGGGACTCAACGGCAAACTTGCACTTGCATGACGCTGCTGCAGGCAGATCGAGCCATGTTCCACCCGCCCTGAGAGAGCTTGCGCTTGTTGACAAGGGACAGAAACCTCTGCCGTCTCCCTAATGCCGGCGAGTCTTTGCATAGCAGTTTGCTTCGAGGCCTGGCACTGAATCTTCTCGCTGAAGAAAGGCAGGGCACTGGCTGCCCGAACAGCACGAGCCTCGCACAAAAGGAGCCCACGCGCTTTCATCGGGACTAAAGCAGGCGGGGGAGAGTTTTCCAGCACGGGGGCGAAGTGAGGTAAAACATAGGGGAGTCAGATTGAGGCTTGTGAAACCATGTCTGGAACCCCGAAGCGAGCGTTCAACCCTCGACTGCGAGTTCGTCCGGTTAAGCAGAATGATGGCCGCATCTGAACTCCCAGTTCAACGATAGAGGAGCCGCATACACGTAGGTTCGATTCGAGAAGCAATCTAGGGTCAACTCGCGCGTAGATCCGCGAGGTCTGCTCTTCTCCCCTCGTCATCTTTCGGGCCTCGGCAGCAGCGCGCTCCGCTGCTTCCTCCTGGCAGTCTCCACACGCGGCTATCCCCCGACGAGCAGCGGTCGGTGTCGAGTCCTCAAGCTGCCTGCGGCGCTCCCGCATCTCGGCAGGGAGGAGCGCCTTGGCGGCTTCTCTTTTTTGGATTTATGAAGAGAACCACCAAACCAAGCTGCGGCCCAGAGGCCCCTCCCTCTTCCGCAGAGAGAAACTCCTGCGGGCTGAGCCTCGGCATCTTTGCTGAGTGAGGTGAGATCGAACGGGTGCTTGGCACACTAGGGTTCCCGAGCTCGGGTCAGACTAAACCAACTACATTCCGCCCAAGAGCCTAAAGTTAAGGTGTTGAAGGCAGGAAGAGTTTGCGATGGTCCCGAGGGTGAGTGTAAAATCCCCTTGGAGCTCTTTGAGGCGCTGCGTCTGAACGATTCTTGGGCGCCCGCTTGCCTTCGAAGAGCTTCGCCACAAGGGGCCGGTTTGCCTGAGGCTTGGCTGCGCAGGGCGGTACCTATTCCGGGAGGACAGCGCCTCCAGGCGGAGGCCCTGAAGCAGGCGTCGGAGGCGGGCACCTGGACGCAGCGGGCCCTCAAGCTCCCTGCAGGTCGTAAGGGGGCAACTTGCATGAGTCTTGCTAGCAATGACCCGCTCACTCACCCTCTGCCTCGCTCATTCACTCACTCTCTGCCCACTGCGCAGTCTCTCACCCTGACGGAGGGACTTGCTCCTGCAGCTCCTACAGCCTCGTCTCCTCACAAAAGGCCTGATCGACAGCCGACCAGAAGAACCCTGCGAACAGCCTTCTACGCTCTCCAACGAGAGACCCGTTTCGAACCCTCTTGTCACTGGCAGCTCTGGGCCCTGGGACGGTAGCTGCGCTGCTCGGGCGAGGCCTCGCAGCTTTGGCAGGAGTCGGAAGCTCGTCGGAAGCTCGCTGTGGACGTGGGCTAGTAAACTCTGGCGAGGTCCGGGCGACGTCTTTGTGCATCGGAGGCCCTGCCAAAGCGAGGTCAAAGGCGACTACAGCATGTGTTAGCGTAGTTAGCGTACATCAAGACGGGTCGATAGGGATCTAACCCTCGCATGCAGGACCACAGCGGTTCCCGTTAATACCGACTCCGACTCGCCTGCAAACGCAATGCGGGGGATGCCTTCGCTTGCGCCGGCGCCCGTGAGCTTGACTTCCTCGCATCCAGCGGCTCAGAGCTCACCCCTCTCTGTTTGAACGATCGTCATTCCGCAGGAGGATCCTTCATTCGAGGCTTTCTAGCCTTGACTGCGGGAGGGAAGCTCCAAAGCGGTGAGAGTGGGGAGAAGGGCGGAGGAGGAGTTCGCGTAGGGCGTTTGCTCCGTTTGCTCTGGTCCTCGGAGAGCGCGGTCTCCAGCTGCCAGGCCAGGAACTCGCAGACCCAGGGGTGGCCTTTGCTTCTTTCAGGGCAAGGCACAGGCCAAGGGCGTGTTCTTTCGACGAAAGGGCGCTCTCTTTTTGGGAAACTCCGATGTCGGCCTGTTGGACTCTTGGGAGTCTTCGACGCCAGGTTCCTGCTCCAAACCGGAAAAGCGTATTTTCTTTCGCCCCGTGGATCTGAAGCTGATCTTCCTCCGTCTCGCAACCAAAAAACAAACCCCCATCGCGGCTCTGAGACTCCCCAGCCTACGCCGTAACGCGAGCACAAAGGGACGCGAGGAGTCGAGGCTTCGGCCGTTGCCGCTTCGGCCGCCGCTTGGCGCGCTTGGCGCCTGCCGCACTTGGCGTGGTTTTGTTGGGGGATCCTGGCTCATGCTGGCTTTGGCTTCCGCTGCCCGGCTGCCCCGGCTGGCCTGGGCGCTGAGAGCCTCGTGCAGCACGGCCAGGGCCTTGCACAGCACATAAAGCACATCAAGCACTCACGGCTTTGGGCATTCAGGCCCTTCAGCACCGATTTTTGGGGATGCAGATCAAAGGCAGAAGGCAACAGACGAAGAGTTCCCCCGGACGTGCGGGCGGCTGCACCCGGGCGCGGCCGCAAGCAGGCGCCGCCTCGCTTTTGGTTGCCTGAGCATCTCTGGGTGTGCCAAATTTCCCCACACGCGGCGAACACGATCGAGTCAGGCTTTTGGCAGAACTGCGGCTTGGCCGTTGCTGCAGCGCTGCTCTAGAATCACTCTGCGGGTGAGAGCGCGGCCTGGGTTGCTCGCATAGCGGGCCCAAACCAGTCTTGCAACTCGACAGAAGTCCGAAACAACCAGAGCGCTCCTTAACGTGACCATGTCGTGCGGCTGCGCATGTGTCTGGCGGTGTGGATTCCTGAATTCTTCGCCTCGCACTGACGCCCAGCCATATCCACTATCACTATGCACAGAAGTGCAGTCGTAACACTCGCACAAGTCTGTAGTGACAGTCTAGCATTGCTGCAGAAGGGCAGAGTGTCAGAAACGAGGCATAATTTATAATCCTTAGAGGAAGGCATAGATGAATGAGGCAGTCATATCCGGCATCAAGAATGCGAGATCCAGACGCACCTCTAACCAGGAGTCGGGAAGCCGTTGCACGCTGACGACCTTGCAGCCCGAAAGGAGGGGAATGAGAACTTCGTCTTCTCCAGGAAACTCCGAGAACTTCTTGAGCTTCATGGGGCGAACACAAAGCACTTCCGGTGGGAGAGCTGAGCAATCAATCTTCATCATGAGCTTCATACCTTTCTTGCCTTTGCTGCGCCAGCTCCTCTCCGCAAAGGTCGCTGCGAGTCCTTCGCTTTGGGATGTGGAGGTGAACGACCTGAAGAAAACCAAATCATCCTTGCTGCTCTCGTATTGCGCCACCTCTTCGTCACGAATACACATCGCACGGAAAACCGTGCCCGAAAAGGTAAGAGATGGATCCACGGCGGCAGCTTTCTGCATTGCAAAGAGAAAAGCCTCTGCAAGCTTTGCAAGTTTCAGGAGGCCCTGTGTCCTCTCCTTCGTGCGTAATGCCGAGTTCAAGGTGTCATAGATGTGACTGACCTCTTGTGTGTAGACGTTGAGCAGATCTGCGTGCTTGCCATTGGCTGGATCGAAATTCTCTGCCAAGCAAGCTAGCTCGCTCTCAGATGCATTGTCGTGTCTCTTCATGTCCCGGAGCTCAAGCAAATATGCGACCGCTTCACGGAAGGAGACCTGCTCCACGAAGTCATGCACGGCAGAGTGCACATATACCTGCTGGGCTGCCTCGATGGAGGCTTTGAGAGTGTCCGCCTTGATGAAGGCAAGTCGCGGCGTCTCAGGTGCTTTCGCAAGCCCTTGCACGACGCTTTCAATGTTCGTATGGATGCCAGCAATCTTCCCACACGGGGCACAGTTCTCCAGAAACCAAGGCTGGCGCTTATGGTAAGCCACGTCTCTGCAGAAGATGTGCAGAAGGTTGACATTGGGAAGCTTGCAAATGAAAGGTACCAGGTCCTTGGCCTTTGACCCAGAGCTGATGACCGTGAAGGCAGTGAGCGGGTTCTGCCGCAACACCTCAGCAGCCTCAGCGAAGTCCTGACAGCAGATCAAGTCCTGATAGGTACCCTTCAGCTGTGCCCGATACATCTCATTCTCGCCATTGTCAAGGTGCGGGTCATGCCACAAAATGTTCCGAAAGGGCACGTATTTCTTTGCTGCCTGGGCTTGCGCAGCCACGTTGTCTGGCTCGGGAGATGTTGCAGCCGGAACATTTGCAGAAGGCCCGCCGGGCAGTGAGGCTGGCGAAGGCCCGCCGGGCATGCTCAAACTCGAAATGTGCTGGCTTAAGAGATGCTTTGCCCGCAGCACGAGGCTTGAATGATCAAGAGTGGGTTGGATCCTGTCAACGAACTCATCCACGAACTTGTCTCGCTCCCAGGACGCCTCCCAGCTTAGCTGTGTACCCAAATATGCGGCCCCGCCAACCACAGCAAGTCCCATCGCAGCTGGAGCTGTGGCGGCAGCTGCTCCAGCACTGCCCATACCACCTGCGATGCTACCGAGGACTGGCACACTTCCAGCACTGCCCATACCACCTGCGATGCTACCGAGGACTGGCACACCTCCAGCACTGCCCATACCACCTGCGATGCCACCGAGGCCGAGGAGTGAGACGAACCCTACTACCACGAGACCCGCAGCAGCTAAGTTCCTGCGAAACTGCTCCATCTCTTCGCCCTGCACGGCTTCCTGCAATTCCTCACGAAGTAAGCCAAGATTGTGCCTCAAGGGTTCAAGCAGGTGGTGACTCAAAGCCGCGCTGCCATGAGCTTGACTAGCGCTCCACTCAGTAGTCAGTTGCTGGTCGATTCTGCTCAGCATATCATCAATTGCCTGGCCAAGCTTGCGGGATACGAGAATCGGCAACTGCCGTTCCTTGACTGAGTGTAACTTCAAACCTTAAACCCAAACCTTCGGGAGTGCTTTGTGTTCCCCTGTCTTCGGCTTTTACAAAAAATAGCCAACATTCTCAAAAACTGCAAAGATTCCACGTGTTGAAACATCTTCCGGCGATACTTGGATTTCATCACGAAGTTGTCAGCATCGATGCTGCGGCATTCATCAAGGGTCCACTCGTGCAGCTGTTCCCGCGAGTATGTGGCTTTCACTTTCTCCTCGAAGAGATCTGCTGCCCTGTCAACAGCCTCCTGCACCATCTGCCTCCAAGCCTCCGGGGTTAATCCACTGCTCGTCAGCATCGAGAACGCTACAAACAAGGCAGGTCCTACGGGCAAAGCTTTGCCAGCTCGATCCAACACAGCTCTTCAGCATTGCGAGCACAGACGCAAATCAAAAGACCTGTATTTTGGCAAGCGTGAACGGCGTTTGCGCGCTCGCTGGGGCTCAGGCAGAGTCGGCGGGGCCGAGGAGCTGAGAGGCCATGGCGCCATTGAAGACTTCAACCACAGGAACCAATTGGGGGCTAACCGCCGCTTTCCTAGTGCGATGCAATGCGGTTGCTAGGGTTTGGAACAAGTTTTGGGCTGACGGCATTCAAGGCTTCAGGTCTGACTTCGTTTGGCTGCTGTGGTTCGGGTGTTGTCCTCGAAACTCCACCAGACTTGTCTTGTGTAGCTGTTCCCAAATGAAAGGTTGGAATGCCTGTCCTTGGTACATCGCTTCTCCTTGTTTGGCTGTTCTGAGACCTTGGGTCCAGAGCTAGCTGGGTTCGCCTCGACAAGAGCAATGCACCGAGCAAGTTGACATTTAGGCTCCGACATGAAGAGGAGTTATCATGCCCGGAAGCCTGAACTTTAGTGCACTCGTCGCTCGAAGCGGAGACCGCCGCTGCATCCGCACCTGCTCAATTGCCGTCCACATGTACAAGGGAAAGGAGAGAGAGCAAACTTGCTCAAGGCCGTGGCTTTTCCACCACCTGCTACGAGTACCGGCAGAGCGTGAAATCTCACCAGACCGAAGCAGCTAAAATCAGAGGGAGGTATTAGGGAACCTTGAGACACGTGCAATGACCATGGCTGACTGCCCCTTCCTTTTAAATGCTGTGTGCCCCCCCAAAAACCTGCACCAACCGGCCTGGTGTCGTACAGCTGGCGAATTGAGCCTTGAGGAACAACAGTTGCAAGGGCGCAGCAGACAACCGACGATCTGCGCTTGGCTTGGAAAGGTTACTTGAAGATCTCAGGAGTGCCAGGAGGCTTGCAATTGACATCCCCACATGCTGCAAGGATGTAGCCGGGAAATTACGATCTCTTGCGGAATGATGAGGCAGCCCCAAACTCAGAACGATGACGCTCCCAGGTGAGAAGCTGAAATCTGCTCCATGCTGTACCCCGACTGGGGCGGCCGCCTTCATCGACATCTGCTTCAGGGCGAGGTTCACCTGCAACCGGCTTCTGGACCGGGGCCACCGGATTCAACGACGCAGACGGGCCCAGAACAGCGCACAGCCCTCGATCATCGCCCTCAGAGTCTGCTGGGAAACGCTGACAACTCTCGCCTGGTCCGGTGAGAGGTCCGACACGCGCTCCACGCGCGGGTCGCCTCTGGGCAGGGAGCTCTCTCCGAGCAATTTCGGAGGAGGGCCGGGGCCGTCGGCGAGGTCCCCAAAAAAGAAAGCCCTCCAAAACTTCTGCGAGGGCCGAGGGGCCGATTTCCCGCAGGCACTGCTCCAGCGCCTCTTCGAGGACCTGGCAGCGGCGGCGGCTGCGCGCGCGCAGCACTCTCTCAGAACAGGGCTGAGCAGCAACATGGGAGCTTTGAAGAAGAGCCTTAGACTTAGAGCTCCGAAAGCCTTATAATACTATAAGAGCTTCCTTGTCCGACAGAACAAGAGCCCTGAGGGCACTGTTTTGGGCTCCAGGGCTCACAGTCTCATCCCCGGCCTGCAGGGGATGCTTGGAGAAGACGGCCTGCAACCGGTGACGGGTTGTGGCTTCTGGAGCTCTCTCTCTGCGGAGCTGGCACAGAGGCTGTTTAGAGTCCGCGAAGCCGCTCCAAGCGGCTGCCTAGACAGAATTGCAGGGAGACGGCGCGAATGCAGCATGGATGCTTGCTATCAGCTGCTGTGAGCTCTTCCAAACATGCACAGCCCCCCCCCCCCCCCCCCCAAAAAAAAAACCCGCAACCACAGCTAAATACGGCTGGGAGGGGGACAGGCTCGGGAGCGCCCCTTTCTAAGGCGCTGGGCCTGGAAGAGGCCGCTGCCGGAGCTCGGGTTCAGCAGGCCGCCCTGAGAGACGGAGCCACACTACCACGAGGACCCCAAGCACCCGTTCTCTTCTCCTCTTCTATATGAGTCTCCTTCAATCTTTACACCCTGAGCCTTCCCTTCCAAGAGAAGGCTCTCTTCTTCTTTCAAAGAAGCGCAAGCACCCCCCGCAGCGCTTCGCGCCTCGGCAAAGAGCCCCGAGAGCACGTTCAGCACGGCGCCTCCCCGGAGGTCGGACCTGAGCCGAGAGGCTCCCAGAAGCGGAGCTTCAAAAGCGCAGCACATGGCCGGTGCCCTGCGAGACCGCGAGAAGGCCCCCCCCAAAAAAAGTCCAGCGGCTAGCAGCAGGCAGTCATTAGGCGGTGAATTCGGGATCCTTCCAACGACCGCATGTGGCTCATAAGTGCCGCACGTGGCGAGCGTCTCTGATGCCGACGGAAGCAGCAGCGTCTCTGCGCAACCTGGTGTTTTGATTTGGGATCTCAGGCAGGCCTCCTGTAATGCAGGCCGTACCGTCCCCAAAGAAGCGAAATGGACACTCGCTAGCGCAACGAGATTCCTTTTTTGATGGCAACGTACACCGACCATGCGATAGCAGCAGAGGTGAGACCTTTTCAGACTGCTAGCAGCAGCATGTAGCAAACGTGGCAGAACCAGGCACCGGCGGGCCTTGCTCCAAAACCAGCATGCAATGCCGGCCTCCCAGCTGGCCTGTTGTGAACGTCGCTTCAGAGATGCAATTCCCTTCGTCGGAAGAGGCCCCGGAGTATTTCCATCCTCCCCGACTCCCTCCCCGGCCTGCCACCCATTGCTTGATTGCCTGGCGCGAGTTGTCTGACCTCGGCTCACATGTCTATCGAAGCAGGGGGGGACAGACATGCCACTACCCAGAAAGAGACTTGGGATGTAAGGATCCGATAGAGGTGATCAAGGGCGAAGGATACAAGATATCCTGCTACGTTGCCATTCTGAAGGAATCTGGAACAGGCTACCTCCACCATCTCCACCCTACCTACACCCCAGGATCCCCAAAAGCCCCACTGAAGCTGTTGGGAAGAACCCAGGGCCCCCAGCAAAGAGCCCCAGTCCAGGTCTGCGGCCGCCTCGGGGGCCTCTCAGAAGAAGCAGAAGTGAACCGGCAGGCTCTCGCTATCTTTAAGCAAAAAGGGTTATTTAACAATTCCCGAAAGCTTCGCGAAGGGTTCTTCCGTGCAGAGCCCTTCAGAGAAAGTACATAGGATACAGAGGATCAGGTACACAGCATAAAGTTTAGATACATAGTGAAGTACATCGAGTGAAGTACATCGACTGAAGTGCATGGTATCAAGTCTTGATAATACTCAGCACTTGATACCTATGCACTTGATACCTATCCACTTGATACCTATGCACTTGATACTATGCACTTGATACCTATG